GGCAGCTGATCGATGTTTCTCTCTCATTGATGTTTCTAACTCTCTATCTCTCTCCCTTCCTCTCTGTAAAAAATCAATAAAATATATTTTTTTTTAAAAAAAGAGGTGATTGGGTGATTTCTACTTCGGATCTTGAGCCTCAGCCTGTGAATCTCACCACCACCACATCTCCCTCCTGTCTGTGCCCGAGCTTAGTGGGATCAGTGTCACCTGCGTTTCCTCCATGGCTGAGCCGGCTAAGCCGCTAATGGGGATCAGATTGGTGGAGGTCACACCCACCCTGCTCCAGTCCACAGCAAATGTATGGCCTGATATGACATGGGGATCACAGGGACCTCGGAGGGCTGTTCCAGGTCAGGAAGGGGGGCTTAAAGAGGGGAGGGGGGCCTTGGATGGGGAGGCAGGTGCCCACTGGGAGCAATGGAACCTTCCTCTCTCCAGCTCTTCCTCTGGGGATCTCTTTCTCTCTCCTTTCCCACCCTCTGTTCACCTCTCCTCTCTGAACAACTCTGTCTCCCCATCCCTCTCTCTCAATCTTTCTCCAACTCTTTTGCACCATTGCACATATATCTGACATACATATTATGCAGTGAACACACCTGCGGTCAGTTGCTGTGTGGATTCTCCAGTGTCTGACCCCCTTGGCCCCAGCTGCACCCCAGGGCCCCAGTCACAGTGACAGATGCTTGGATACCGGTGACAATAGGGCATTGAGTGGCTATGCATGGTGAGGCTGAGCCACCACGTGGTGCTAACTGAGCCTCCCACTTCTGGGCCTTTCTCTCTCCATGCAGGGCCCTCACTGTCTCAATTTATCCCCTCACTTCCTGCCAGCCTGTCCCTATGGCGGGTCTCTGCCTGAGTGCCCTCTATTGGAGTAACCGAGCCTCCAAGGCCCTCCAGTGACCTCTGACCACACCCTCTCCTCTTTGTGCATGTTTCCCTTTTTCAAAAGAGGGAACAGATCAGAGGAGAATGGATGTAGGGGTTCTGAGGGTCCCCAAGAAGCCACATTCACTTTCCTGAACTTGGATGAGCAGTGTGAGGCCCAGAGAGGGGAAGGCGTTGGCTTGAGGTCACACAGCAGGAAAGTGTGGCCTCTCCAGCCTTATTTTTCAGAGGCAGGTGGGCGGGCCCCAGGGTCCTGGGGGGAGTGCTGAGCATCCCCCCACCCACTGTGCTGGCCAGGACTGAAAGAGGCCCAGGCACATACACACGCATATGCACAGCACACACAGAACCGAGACTGGAAGGGCGGAAGAAGGCCAGGGCGCTGGGACCAGACAAAGGACGCGCGGCAGCACCGGGAGCACAGTGGCTCCACGGGGGCGGGGGTGGAGTCGGGGTTGGGCGAGAACTGGCCAGCCCCGCCCCGGGAG